GCCCTGAGAGTTTGAGCAATGGTGGCAGTCCTGGCAAGGATAGGGTACAGATAGGGATCACAGCTGGGTCACCCCAGGCACCAAATTCAGGCTTTGTTCTGAGGGCACTGGGGGGTCATGGAATAGTTCTGAGCAAGAGAAGGCATGGTCAGATCTGTGGTTTGGACACCTCACAGCGAGATGGGTGGGTGGGACAGAGCCCAGGGTCCCATCAGAGGCGGTAATGTGGCTTTAGCCATAGAAGCTGCTGGATGACCAGGTGCCCAGGTATGGGGAGCTGGGGGTGGGTTTCAGGGCCTCCAGCTTAAGACTGGAAGGTCTCTGCCCTAAGACCACATGTAGCAGGCAGGTACAGCCTGGAAGGCCCAGAAGGCTTCCTAGAAGAGGTGGAGGAACAGGCCAGAAAAGCCTAGGCCAGAGAACCCCAGAAGGCAGTAGTGGGAGAGGAGCTTTTGGGTTGGGCCTGGAGGCCCCTATTGTCTGTGGGAGGGAGACCTGCCCACCTAGCCCTGGCTACCCTCAGAGAGGAGTGGGCCCACAGCCATCAGTGGCCTTGGAGCAGCAACAAGGCTAACCCCGGTCCCCGGTCACACCCCATATGGGCCTGGAAGCTAACTAGGTCCCTGGCCCTGAGCTGTCAGAGCTTCTGGCCCTCTGGATATCTTGGCCACACACACACACACACACACACACACACACACACACACACTTCATTTAATTTACAATTGTCTTAGTTGTCCCCGGGGTCATCGAGTATAGTGGGAAAACTTGTAAAGTGAGAAAAAAATCTACTCTCAAAATTGTTCACAAATATAATAAACTATTTTCTTAATTTTAAAAATAACATTGACATCATGTTAGCTAAGCAGACATTTAATTATGTCTTCATGCATCTTGATAACATTGCTGCCCCCTTACGTATTCTGGAGACCCTTTTCTCCTGAATGTTAAGCTTTATTGAATTCTCCTGAATGTTAAGCTTTGTTGAAGACCCCCAAATGCTCAGAGGCCCAGCCTGGTGCTTGTGGCTGGATGGCTGGGCCAGCGGCCACTCCAACCCAGCCAGGTTCAACGGTGACTGATGCTGACTGTGACTGGGCAGACCCTGCCCCATATCTCTGTGTGTGAGACCAATGGTTAGAAGCATTTGCTGATTTGGGGCTGATGTTAATATTACCACCACATTCTGGGCACTGCTTTGTGTCCTGCCCACTGCTGCCTGGGACTTTCCATGGATCCTTCTTTTTACCCCAAAGCCACCCCAAAAGGCAGGTACTGTCAACTGTTTTATAGCTGTGACACATGCTGAGAGAGGTTAAAGCAACCTGGCCAAGGTGTTGTGGCCAGACTAGAATCCAGGGACACTTTAGGGGGACCCAGCAACAGAAGCCCCCTGGGACTCTCCTCTGGTGCTGGCACACACCAGACACCTCAGGGCAAGGGAGCCACGGCTTCTGGAAGGCTGGCTGTCTTGCTGGGCTAGGCATGGTTCTGGAGTGCCTGATGACCCCAGGCCAGGCTCTTTGCCACCCCTGCCCCACCCCCAGTCCCAGAATTTGCCTGCTGGGAGCTAACCAAACCTGCACAGCTCTCCCATCCCCACATCCACAGCAGGCAGGGCAGCCCTTTGCTCTCAGCCTCCTGCCTGAAATGCTGGGGCTGGGGACCCAGGGGGACTAGGGAGTCTACCCCAGTGACTGAGGAGGCAAGGGAGGAGGTGGAGCCAAGGCTGGGTCATCCTAGAAGCAGGAGGAGGAGGCTTTGGAGGAAGAAGGGCCTTGCGGACCTTCACAGCCTGGATGGGGTAGGGTGCCTCCTGGTGCTGCTGAGGGCCATGGGCGTGTTTCCAAGTCGGGGCTGTGAAGTCGGAAAGGGAGCCAGGACCCAGGAGGCTTGGGGAGCTATGAAGCAATTTCCTAGAGGTTTCTTTCCCTCAGATCTCCTCAGAGCCCTGAATACCCTCATAGGATCCTGGAGGTGGGGACTAAGCCTGCCTTTCCCGAGCTCCAATGCCAGCAAGCCTCCTGTCATCCTCCAAACGCCAGAAGAGGTGGACACCGAGGCCAGGGTGGAGGTGGAAGATGAAACCAGGAAAGCCCGGGCAGAGGGCGCCTGCCAGTCAAATCGAGAAGTCCTTTCTGGATCCAGGCCCCACTCCTCCTACAGCCCAGGCTGGGAGCTCTGGGGTGGGCTGGGCTCCCCCAAAGGACAGGGAGAGAGTGTGGGCTGGTGCAGGACGGGGCATGGTGCAGGGTGCCTGGGGGATGATCGGGAGTGGTGGGCAGGACAGGTCTGTGGCGCCTCTCCGGTTCTAGATGGAGGTGGGGGAGGGGGGCCTGAGAGGTCTGCATCCTTCCTCAGGGGCATGGACTCTGGAGAAGGGGTGGGAAGGGCTGGGCAGGCATGGGCGAAGGGGAAGTAAGGAGGCAGCCAGCCTAGCCCAGGCTCAGGGAAGCCTCCCTGGAAGAGGTGACACAATCATTAGACACTTGCCCTACACACCAAGGGGTGGCACAGGGCCTGCGCTTTGGAGCCTGGCCCGGCCAGCTGCACCTATGCTACACCCCACCCCCAACATACCTGGAGAGGGCACATTGAGGCTCGTGGGTGTGGACACTTGGTTGGCCCCACGTGAGACGAGCACTGCCCCAACCCTGTTCATCCTCCCTTGCAGTTTAGTATCCTCCCTGGGGGCTCTATCTGGTCCACAAGGCTCCTCCCTGGTTGCCTTTCCACGCCTGGGGCCCTGATGCCTTCACCCATGCCAGTCCCTGGCCCTCCTGTCCAGCCCCTAGTTCACAGACCACTTTTCCCTTCCCTCCCACACACAGCTTGTGTTCTGGAGTCACCCACTCTCGCAGGCAGCGTGGAGCCATTGGGGAGTGCTTGGGAAAGGGGTCCCGGAAACAGCCAGGCTGCAGATGGAGGCAAGCTGGGGTGCAGAGTGCACATGGTTCCCATGGTCATGCCTGGGTGCTTGCTCCGCTGGCTGTGACACAGAGCATGCCTCACACCCCACTGCAGTTAGTAGGGTGGGCATCCAGCAGGTGCACTCACCTGGACAAGGTGCCAGCTTTAAGACTGGGGCCAGCAACCCACCCTTCCCATAAGCAGGGATGAAATGACTCTGCAAAATGCTGACCCTTAGGTGGTGAACCTACACCCCCAAACTCTGAATGTATCTGCCCCTCCCCAGAGTGGGGCACCTCCTTTATTCTGTGCGGCTTTAGGGCCTCTGCCCTGGTTCTGGGTTGACTATGGGGCAGGAGCAGGAAGGGCTAGGGTTACCATCCAGGGGCTGTCTTAATGTCCATGCAGGGCTGTCTAATGGCAGTATCCAAGTTCCCCATTGGGTCTCACTGAGCTCTGTTGGGAGGGCTGGGGAGTGGACAACACATCCCTAGCCCCATTTCTCAGGTCACACAACTGGTTCTCACCCCCTGGCAAGTAGTGTTGGGGTAGGAGGTGGCCTGTTCTCCATGCTCCTGGGTCACCAGCCCTGAGTCACCTTATGGGAGCTCTAATGTACATGCTACTGGAATTGCAAGGAGATTCTGACCAAACCCTAAGCCTCAGGATTTCCAGTTTCCTTATCTGTGAATTGGGGATTCAGATATACATGAGGGAATGTATATGAAACATTCAATAGCTCCTAGGACAGAAAGTGCTGAGATTTTTAGTTTCTGTTCTGTTTTTAATTTATTTTTTTTAATTTTTTTATTTATTTATGATAATCAGAGAGAGAGAGAGAGAGGCAGAGACACAGGCAGAGGGAGCCTGATGTGGGATTCGATCCCGGGTCTCCAGGATCGCGCCCTGGGCCAAAGGCAGGCGCCAAACCGCTGCGCCACCCAGGGATCCCTTCTGTTCTGTTTTGTTGGTGGCAGCAGTGCCCCACTTAGAACTTTGGGCAGGGAGGGTGGGGGTCCAGCCACCTTATCCCCACCCTCTCAACCTGCTGGCCCCGTCCTCAGCAGCTCCCAGGCAAGACGCCTCAACAATGGGTGAGAAGGAAGCCGGAAGGGACCCGAGGCCAGTGTGGGGCTCCCCTCCAGGCTGCTGCTCCTACGGTGCCGGCCGGCGTGGCCACGAGGACCTCTCTCCCAGCAGCCAGAGCTTGAGGAGGGGTTGATCCCCTCCCGCGGAGGGCAACTCTCTTTCCTAGAACGCGCTTCCCTGGCTCCTTGGCCAGAGGGGACCAGCACCGAGAACGTCTTGGGATGTCCCCGCTCTTCAGATATGAGCATGCCACCCTCACTGTTGGGGCCCCTCCGCTCGGGCCTGGGGTCCAGCGGGCAGCTCAGAGCGCCCTCCCTCTCTGGGTCATTGTCGCTGAGATGATCCGGCTCTTGGGCTCTGACCTCCTCCACCCCTCCTCCGGGCTCCGGGCTCCGGCCCCCGGCCCTCGCTGTGGTCACTGTGTCCGGCGGGAAAGGGTATCGTTTTGCAGCCCACCCCAGGTCCCCTGTCCCCGCGGAGCTGTCCCGGGGTGGCCGGGGCTTGCACAGTGCGCGCACCCCATGGCCCGCGTACCCTCACGCGCCCCGAAGCACCGGCCCCGGGGCGTGCAGTCCCCCGGCACTCCGCTTCCTCTCGGCAACCCGTCCGGCCGCGGCGCCCTCATTGGCCGCGCGCCCCGCAGCCGCCCATTGGTCCGCGGGGCCTGTTTTACATAGAGCGCTCTGAGCCAATCGGCGCGCAGAGCCTACTTAACATGCACAGCAGCCACCAGTCAGCGAGCGCGGGGGCCGGGCCACCACGTGCTGTTGCTAAGCTTGGGCTTCTAAATTGTTACTAGCGCGGCCGGCCTATAGGAACCGAGCATCGCATCTGTCAACATTCTCGGCCCGGCCCGAGGCGTTCGGACGGCTCCCATTGGCCCCGGCCCGACCCAGCGCCCGCCCCCAGAGCCGCAGCGCCGGCCCCCATTGGCTACGCCGGCCGCCGCTCGCCCTTATGTGTCAATTTGAGGGCCCGAGGCGGAGGGTGGCGGCCGAGCGCACTGGGAGTCCGCGGGAGTCGGGGAAGTAGGGTCGCCGGGCGCGCGGGGCGGGCGGCGAGCGGAGCCGGCCGGAGAGGGCCGGGCAGCGGCCGCCGCCGTCCCGGAGAGCGCGGGCGGGCGCGGGCGGGTGGCACGATGAAGCTGAATTCCCTGCTGATCCTGCTGGAGGCGGCCGAGTACCTGGAGCGCAGGGACCGAGGTAGCGCCCGCGCCCCTTTGTGCGCCGGGACGCGGGGGGCGGGCGGCAGGGCCGGGGCCGGGCGGGGTCCGCTGACCGCGCCGTCTGTCCGCAGAGGCCGAGCACGGCTACGCCTCGGTGCTGCCCTTCGACGGGGACTTCGCCAGGAAGAAGACAAAGGCGGCTGGCCTGGTGCGCAAGGCCCCGAACAACAGGTACCGCCCCCCACCCCGCCCGGCCAGGCGCCGGGGGTCGTCCCCCCCTCCCGCCCCGGAGCGCCCTCCCCCGGCCCCGACCCCCGGGCCGCAGCCCAGCAGCGGCCGCGCGCCCCGGCGGCCAGCCTGGAGGAGGAGGAGCACCCGGGCCGCGGCCGCAGCCCCGCCCGGCCGGCCCCGCCCGCGCCGTCGCCATCTTCCCGCGGGCCGCGCCTCCTCGGCCTCTCGCGTAAACAGTGCCACGCGTACAGCGCCCGCCGCCCGGGGTCTCCTCCCGCAGCCGCTCCCCGCTAGCAACTTGTTCTGGACTTTTCCGGGCAGGAAGAAAAGTTGTCGGTGGGCGCTGGCCGGGGCCCCGTGCGTCCGGGGACACTGAGGGTCGGTGCGCACTGCGTGGGACTGCCCGCCGCGGGGGGTGGCCGCGTCTGCCCCGCTGCTCTCCGAGCACCCCCACCCGCAGGGCCTGGACAAAGAGGGCGTAAGCAGGCCGTGCCCGGGGCCCCCCTGCCCATCGTCCTGACACATGTGAAGCTGCGGCGACAAGTGTCGGGTCCCCTTCTTTGGACAGGAGGCCCTCCCGAAGGGTAGCCGGAAGAGGTGCTGGCCGCCCGCAGCAGCCCTCCTGGTGCCAGCACTCCCCCACCCCCTACTCTGGCCTCCTTCCCAGGCTGTAGAAGCATAAAGCTGGGGTGCACATCTTTGCAGGAGGGACCCTGAGCTAGGGCTCCCGTGGGGCTCCCCACTGCGAGGGTCAAGAGGGCCACAGCACACCAGGCATGGCCTTGGCCTCTCTGGCTCTGGACCCTGTTGCCAGGCAGGGAACCTTGCAGGGGGCTTGGGGGCCCCTTGGCAGAGGGTGCGGCTCATTCCTGTGGCCTGCCCGTTCTTGGGAAACAGAATGGCTGGCACAAGGACCTATCTCCTGTGACGTTCTGGCGCCCTGGGCCTGGCAGGGGATTGCTTGAGTCTCCATCTGCCCTGGCCGGACGTGCCTCTGAGTCCCAGCTCCTGGTCCCCTGCTGAGGACGGTTTGGGAAAGGATTGTGAGAGGGCACCCCCTCTCTGGTGTCCTCGAGGAGCTAGCTGGCTCTCACTGCCCCACACGCCCTGGCACCTGTGGAAACTCTGGAACGTGACCTTAGAGTCCTATGAGGTACCCAGAGTTGATAGCCAGAGTCATAATTAAGACTCTGGGGTTCCTGGTGTGCTGAGGGCTTCTCGTACTATTCCCCCAACCCAGGATAGATGCATCATAGGCTGAGAAAGCAGGTGTTGAGAAATTGAATTACATGCCTGGGGCCAGCTTCCCATCCTCGGAACCCCCATTCTGAGGTGGGCTCCTGGCCTTCTATGTGCTGCCACCTTGAGGGCCCTGGGGAGGGCCGAGGGGGTTTCCTGGGCTGCAGTGTGCCTCCGTGCCTCTCCTCTGGGCAGAGGCGCTGGAACCCCCAGTGAAAGGGCCACGAAGGCTGTCCCTACCCAGCTGGGCCCAGTCGGCCCAGGGCAGGGGTGAGGGCAGAGCAGGGCTCAGAGGGTCCTGGGCCTCTGACTTGACAGGGATGTCCCACCATGCAAGGTATCTGTGTCTCACCAAAGTGAGGGGAAAGGGTGGGCCCAGCTGGGCCCAGGGTGAGGAGTGAGCAGTGGGGCAGGAGGGCAATGTGTGTGCAGGAGGCCCCATTATTTCCAGGGCTCTAGGAAGGGCTTTTGGGGACAGTGGCTCAGTAAGAGGAAACTGGAGCCAGCCTGCTGGGGCTCAGGTCCTCCAAGAACATGGGCACAGGAGTTCCTACCTGGAGGGCCCAAAGTGAGGTGCGAACGAAGTGATGCCAAGAATGTTCTTAGCAGAGCTCCAGCCCGGGGGCCCCTCTTCCCAGGTGTAGGACAGGGTGTTCCTGGGACCCATGTTACAAACCTGCCACAGGCCATTGCAGATGTCTGGGCCTGGGAGGAGCCCCAGGAGGGGCTCTGGGCCCCTCTCATCCCCAGCTAGCCAAGGAGTGACCCTCGCCCTCCAGGAGGAGTGTAACCCAGACTGTGAGGGGGTGGCCAAGCCCTCTATGTCGAAGGACACTCACTAATCCTCACATCCTTCACGTGGGAGCAGACCTCTAGACCCGCACTGAGGGGCTGTGGTCCTGGCTGAGAGGAACCTGACAGCTCTGCTCCCTCCTGGTCCTGGCCAGCCCGGCAGAGGTTCTTTGGCTCCCTGCCCAGCTCCTGTGACCAGCAGGCCCTCAAGACCCCCAGGACCCAGGTCTGGAGGCTCTCTGAAAGCTTCACAGGGAGGCCCAGGTGGCCCTGGTGAGCAGAGAGGAGGCCTTGGACCCCATTTGGCTTTGATAGGGCCATGAACCATGGTAGGTGGCAGAGGCAAAAAGGATGGGTAGGCACTCTGGCTGGTTGGATGGGGACGAGAGACACCTAGCCCAGAGTTCCTGGGAGCAGGAGAGTGTGGGCAGGCAGGCAGAGGTCAGCAGAAGCTCCAGGAAAGAGTGAGGGATAGGGGGACACAGCACTCAATCTGGGTGTCCCCTGAGGTAGTCTGGGCCCTCTGCTCACATGTGAGGCAGCCTGGCAGGCCTAGGAGCCCTGGCTGTCCATGGGGTACCCACCTGAACTGGGAAAAACTCTGGAACTGGGAAATTGCCCTTCTTGAATTATTGTCCTACAAGGCAACTACCGCAGAACTGCCTACCAGGGTCCTCAGGATTCTGTACCCTTGTCTGGATGGGCCAGGTGGGTAGGGCTGGAGCAGCAGATAGGGCCACTGCTGGACCCAGAGAGGCCAGGACCATGGCCCCAGAGGGAAGCAGGAGGGCCAGCCTCAGTCTCCCTCCTGGGCCGGGTCGGCTCTGTCCCTGGGTATCCCCACTGGTGCAATGAACTGTGATCATGTAGGTGGGAGAGCCCAACCGCAGGGGAGTGGCACTCTGGGAATGTCAGGGCAGGACCACTCCATGTCCTCACCTGCAGTTGGCCCTCTAGGCCGGCTCCTGGGGCCCCAAAGACACTGCTGGCCTCCAGGAGTGTGGAACGGGCAAGGCTGGTGGCTCAGTGCCCAGGAAGCCTTGGGAGCACAGGGTGGATCAGTCCTAGTGCCTTCTGGAAGGCGTCTTGCCTCCAGAGCCCCCAGATGCCTCACTGAGTAAGCCAGGTGGCCCTAGGCATCCCTAGACGCAGCTGCACCTCTGTGTCTCCTGTCCTGGTCACTTGGTGCAAGGTTCCTCCACCCTGCCTTTAGTCGCAGCTGCTCACCTGCCCCAGCCCTCCTTATCCTGCCACCATCTGCAGGTTCCTAGGCCCCTGAGTAGAGCTGTCATTCTTTTGTATTGGTGATTAGGCAGCAGAGTGAGCTCTGTCTTTCTATCTCTCTAAACAGGTCTTCACACAATGAACTAGAAAAGCACAGGTAAGTGATGCCCTGTCCCCCACCCCCCAGTCACCCATATGAGCTGCCTAATCCCCCTCCCTGTGTGTCCTGGGTACGGCTGACCATGCTACCAGGCGCACCCTTGCTTGCGGAGGGTTAGTTGTAATGGAGGAGTCAGGTTTTGCCCTCAGGAGGCAGACACGGGACCCAGGCCCTTGGAAGTTGAGGGCACGGGTGAGGGTCTTGGAGCATGCCCGCTCTCTGGAGCATGAGATCCATCTAACATGGGGCATCTGAGCCCCTTTGGGAGCAGCTCTCGAGAGAGCTCTTGGGATGCTGGCCTCCAACCAGGAGGGTTTGGGCCTCTTGGTCTGGGGTCCACTGTACCCTGGGGCCTGCCTTCCAGGGAGCTCCCACTGATCTCAAGTGGGGCAGTGGGAAGAGCAGCTGGTCTTTGGCTACGTGGGCTGCGGGGAAGGTCTGGCCAGGGGCAGGATCCTGTGGAACCCTTCTGGCTGCAGGGCCGGGTCTGCTCTGGGTCCTTTGAGGACCGAAAGGGCAGGGAAGGGGAGCACTGTCACCCGAGGTACGCCCTGGGGCACCTCCCCAGCTGATCCCAGCTTGGGTGCTATGGGCCTGGCTCTGCCCCCAGCGCCTCCAGAAGCCTGGGCCCACTCTGAAGTAGGGACAAAATGCAGGTAGGCTCAGCCCTGCACACAGGGACCCTCATGGTGAATCTCAGTGGGGTGGTGGGAGCAATGGGTGGGCACAGAAACCCCAAAGGCAGGAGCCTTGGTTCCAGGACCAAGGGCTGCCACACGGTAGCTTCTTCCTGACCTCTGCTGCCACCTGTGAAATGGGCCAGTGTGGGAGGGGGGCTTCTGCATACAAGTTCAACTCTCCCAGCTTGCTCTGGGAAGGTTTGGAGCTTAGCCAGTTCTCTGTGTCTTCCCCCCGCACCCCCCCCCCCGACGCCCACGGCAGCGCCAGCTTCCGCTCCCCTGGGATTCGGCCCTCAGCTGGGCGGGCGCTGGGCAGGGACAGGACACTGTGTTCTCTGGAGGAACCGTACTTCCTGGACTGCTCCTGTGTGTTTGAGGGGTTCCTGAGAGGCGGGGCAGGTGCGGGGGCCTAGAAAGCCAGGCAGACCCTGGGTCACTCTTAGGCTGGAGGAGATGGCTAGCCTTCACTAGGACCCAGGGGCCTGGACAGGCATGTGGAAGTGTTCTGGAGAAGGCATCCTGGGGTAGTGCTTGGGAAACCAGCCTCTCCATGCAGAAGGGGGATGATACTGTGGGAGATCGGGTGCCAAGAGCATGGCAGCTCTCAGAGCAGGACAGATTGCTGGCCTTCAACTCCTACAACTGCCCCTTGACTCTGGCCTTGGCCTCAGTGACCTTCTCCTGAAGCTTGCCCTTAGGCTGGGTCTTGGAGGGTCCTTTTGAAACATAGAAGCAGGGTAGATGGGTCGCTTGAGGTCTCTATCCACTCCCCCACCCCCATGCAGGGTCCTGTGCCTTCCTGGCCAACAGATAGATGCAGAGAGCACCTGGTAGGGACCTGGGTCAAGGCTGTACCTGTGGCTGCCCAGTGCTGATGCAAGATACTCCTGGCTGCTGGCCACAGGAAGGAAGAAGCACTGGCTGGGTCACCCGGCCAGCCGCAGGGAGCAGGCCCTGGAGGTCGTCCTCCCTAGAGGTGTGCCAGGTCAGGCCTGCAGGGCTTTCCCCTGCCTGTTCTGTGAGGCAGCCTGGTCAGCCTCGCTGGTCCTCCTCCCAGGCCTCCCCATCCTCCCTCATAGAAAGCAGCTCCAGTGGTTCTGCTAGGGCCAGTGCTCCACTACTGACCCTGGGCCCGGGGGCCAGGCAGATTGGGTGTTCCTTGGCAAGATGAGCCTCCTGCCCCACCTCCAGACCTTTTGTATGTGGATTAGGGGCTCCCTGTGGGCCATCCCCACCTGCCTGGTGCAGCACAGGGTCTCTGTAAACCTCACAGCTAGAGGATACAGGTGAGCAGAAGAGGCCAACAGGGGCCTCGTTCCCCGGGTAGCCACAGGGCAGGGCAGCTCCTCCTTTTCTGACCTCTTCCCTGGCGGCCGGACCTGGGGTGGCTCAGAGTGTGGCTGTACAGACGCTGGGACCTCCTTTTCAGAGCAGGGGCTTGTGGTGAGAAGCTAAGAAGGACTTGTGTCCAGAGCTGGGCTGTGGCCAGTGGCCAGAGACCAAGCTGCTATTAACACTAATGCGGTGATTCCCAGAGGCAGGTTCTGCTTCCCGAATCCACACAGGGTTCCTTCAGGAAGTGGTGAATTTTCAAAGCTCCCAGGAATGTTGGAGACAGCCACGGGGCGCTGGCAGAGGGCCTGCGGCACCGGCACCGTGGCCGCTCCAGCTTGGGGCGGCTCCAGCTCAGGGCTCCCCCGGGGCCCAGTGCGGCCCCAGGCTGCGGGGCCTCGGCACCTCCTCCGCTCCCCCCAGGGGCTGTATGTGGGACACAGGAGGGTGGGGACCTGCCTGGGGCCCCCACAGCCAGTGCCTAGCAGAGCTGGGTCTGGCCCCACTGAGACTGCAGTCCTGGCTGAGTGCTCTTTGGGACTTGGGCAGGTGTGTGGTCTGGTGCTAAGCCTTGCAGGGGGATTGTCTGGTGGGCTCTCTGTGTCCTTTGAGAAGCCTGTGATTTAGGATATCTAAAGCAGCCCGTCCACGTCCATCACAGACGCTCAGGGGTCCTCCCCTGCACCCCACCCCAGAGAGAGCCATCCTAGGCGGCTGGGAGGCCACACCTGCATCCTCTTCCACGCGGATACTAACTCACATGGATAAAAGTGGGACTGTGTTATCCACGGTTTCATAACTCGACCTTTCCCCTGACACCGCATGAGCACTGTCCTCCCTTGTCTGAGCCTTTTCCTCCCCTTGGGCCCCGTGTCCACACAGTGTCCTTAGCCATGGTGCTCTGCTCAGTCCCATGATGGAGTTGGCCTTGTGGAAAACTGCACACCTGGGGGATAGTGCAGGTGCCACTCAAGGGTTCAAGTCCTGCCGCGGCCCTTGTTTGCTCCCCGCAAGTGACGCGTGGCTGGGCGCCCAGGCCAGCCCCAGAGCCAGCTAGTCTAGGCTGTCCCGCCCAGGTGCCCGCCTCCCCTGCCAGGTGCTCATTTCCTAGCCGGCTGTGCGGCCTAGTCGCTTTTGTGTTTAGCTTAGCTGTCTGTGTTCTGCAACTTGGCTGTGTGTGTCCTCTGCCCATGTCCACATTAAGATATTCCTCTTTTTATTTTTGATGTGTATGAGCTCAAAATGTCACGAATACTAACCGTTTGTCTTTTATGTGTATTACAGATATTTTTCCACTGTTATTTGTCTTTTTAGCTGTGTTTTTTCTTTCTTGTACAAATTCTCTTTCTGATTGTAAAAGTAATGTGTGGTTTTTTTTTTTTAGCATAGAAAACCTGAAAATACAAAAACAAAAAAACAAAACAAAACCGTAAAGCCAAAGAAATAAACGTTGCCAACCGCATCACCTGGAGACGCATGCCTCCTGCTCGTCATTGTGTCCTGTTGAGTCTCTTGTGTGCGTCTGCTGTTTTTTTTAAACGATATTGGGTCCCTTGTCACATAGATGGTTCCGTACGCCGATTTTTTCACTGAACATTCATGATGTGAGAATGTGTAATACACTAAAATGATGGTGGTGGGATTTAGGGTACTTTATTTTTTATCTTGTTTTGCACTTTGATTTTACACAAAGATCACATACTGCTTATGTAACCACGCAGTAGGTTGTCAGCATTGCCATTTGCTATAGAGCATACGGACAAGGGGACCCCACATGTGAGCTTGGTGAGGGTGGCAGGACAGGAGGGCCCACTGTGGGAGGGTGGCTCTCTGCCTGGCAAGCCCCTCCTGGAGCACAGAGCGCAGTTTGCAGCTGGTGCCAAGTGTTCCTGGCCCCATTTGCAGTGGTGCAGCAGGGGTACTCCAGCCCCTTGGAGGTGGGGGAGCGGAGGTTCCCGGACTCCGGGTGGTCATGCTGGCATGCCCCCTTCCCCAGCCTTGTATTTGTGTGGAGGTGGGAGCTCCTCTCTGAAGGTTCTTCAGCCCCCAGGCAGAGCATGGGGCTGCTCTACACGCAGGTCCCCAGTGCCCAGGCTGTCAGGTCCTGAGGCAGAGCACAGCCGGAGTCCTGTGTCCTGGAGGTTCTTCCTCACTCAGGTACACGTCTAGGTCCTGGGGGTGCTGTGGGCTGGAGTCCTAGGTGGGGAGGTGCCCTGTCAGTGGGAAGGAGCCATGTGGGCTTTGGTGACAGACGTAGGGCCATGGAATCTAAGTGCCGCCAGCTTCCTTCTACAAGGTGGGACTGTTATTGCTGCTCTGCAGACGGGCTCTTGCCCCACACCCAGCTGCCCCTGTTCCCAGGCCTTGGGTGCCCCCTCAGTCCAGAAGAAGTAGCCATCCCTGCCCACTTTCCTCCCAGGCTCTACGGCTACAAGAGGCCGTGGATGTGCTGGGGCTTTTACGTGTCAGGGACAGAGGAGAAAAGCTGGGACAGCAGAGGTTGGCACTTAATGAGGGAAGGAGCATGCCCTGGCCATGGTGCTGGCAGGGCAGCTGGGCAGCAGGTTGTCAAGACCTCACAAAAACACCTGCACCCTGCCCTCCAGGGTCTTCTCTCAGAGTACAGCCTAAGCAGAGCAGTGCAGCCAGGCCTTCCTGCCAGGATGGTCCATCACGTGGATATGGCAGGGTCTCCCGGGCCATCATGGTGGCCAGGGTGTGCTTCAGGGTGAGCTGTGGCCACCCTGGTGGTCTCTGCCAGCTTGTCCTTCTCAGAAGAGATGAGCCAGGAAGGGCAGTGTTTCTGCATGGGCAGGATACAGGCCAAAACCCCTCACCCAAGGCCAAGGCTGCTATGTAAACAATGCCACTGGGTCTTATGAGGACAGTTTTGTGAAAACCTGCATTCATCCACACAGACACAGGGACAAAATCTACAATAAAGCTGTTTCCTCTAGGAGATACGAAATTGGGGTGGGAGGGGCTGGTCCTTGGCCCTCCCTGACCCCAACGGACCTGTGTTTCTGTGGTGACATGACCAGAGACCACTCTGAACGTGACAAAGTGGAATGCCAATCCTGCCTGGGGCCCCCTGGACATCTAGGAGCAGCCTGCCGCTGCAGGTTGTGCCCTGGCCTCCTGGACCTACTGTGGACGGTGGGGACAGTGGGGTGAGCACGGGCTCCAAGGCCCTGAGGGCTGTGCAGGGCTGGCTGGCTATACAGGCCCTGGCCGTGGGCTCTCCCATGTTAAGGAATCTGGAAGGCGGGTACCAGGCTGCTCTGGGGAAGCTGTCAGCCAGGCTGGGAGGGGAGCCCCAGAGAGGGACCCTCAGCAGGTCCATGCAGGACTCTGACTGGCCGCCTCTTGTGCCACTGCTGTTGTCCCCACGGGCGGTGCCACCCTGGCCTGATGGTTCCATGTCTCCTCTTTCAGACGAGCCAAACTCAGGCTCTATCTGGAGCAGCTTAAGCAGCTGGTACCCCTGGGCCCTGACAGTACCCGCCACACTACGCTGAGCCTCCTGAAGCGCGCCAAGATGCACATCAAGGTGAGTGGGATGGTGCCTGTACCACAGCCATTGGCTGACCCCTGCCTGTCCTATACACCCAGGGGGAGTGGCCAGAGGGCCTGAGGGGAACCACCTAGCAGGTATACATTGAGAGCCTCTGGGGGGCTCTGGCAGTAGGTGGGGGTGTGCAGCCACAGGGGATGCTGAGGGCTAAGGGGGTCACAGGCACATGCTGGGTTTCGTCGAGAGGGGGTAGGGGTGGATGGTTAGCCATGCCAGGCTGGGGGAGGGAAAGGTGGGCTGCAGATGGCCCCTGGGGCCCTGGGCCATGAAGGGGCAGCAACTAGGAGAGATGGGGCCAGGAGGGGTGGGATGGGAAATAGGCAGCCCAGGTGTATTGGGAGCTTCTGGGTGGAGGGTAGGGTTGGTCTCCTGGGGCTGGCAGAAGGGTAGATGGAGTGAGCCATTGTTGAGGGCAGGCCCCCAAGGCCTGAAGACAGACTTGCTGGTTTGGGGGGGGGGGGTTCTTAGGATACTTGGGCCAACCAGGGTGGGTCTCCAGGAAGGACCCTCAAAGCCTCTGAGCTGGCAAGGCAGGAGCAGCCCCAGGCAGAGTGGCGGGATCTTGGAGAGAGTCACAGTCAGTGCCCTAGAGTCTTGCAGAGCAGGGAAGGATGAAGAAGCAAAGGGGCAGAGTGCTGCCCTTGGGGCAAGCAGGGGGTGAGGGGACATCGGGGGTGAGGGAACACCACCAAGGCAGGATGTCTTCCTGGAGGCAGTGCCAGCCCAGGGCCCACGTGGCTTGGCTTGGCCAAGCTGGCAGTGGCTGTGGGTCTCCTGGAGGTGGTCAGCAGATGCAGGGCATGGGCCTAGGAGGGGACGGGTGATGTCACCACCCAGTAGGGTGAGGAGGGGGCTCATTGGACCTTAGGGGCCCCCTGGGGACTAGGTACCCTGCGGCCCCGGGGCCCTGGTTCTTCTGGTAGGGGGGACGGCTTCCCTACCTCCCATGGCTCACAGACCGCCCCCCTCCACCCCCAGAAACTGGAGGAGCAGGACCGCCGGGCACTGAGCATCAAGGAGCAGCTGCAGCGAGAACACCGCTTCCTGAAGCGGCGCCTGGAGCAGCTGTCCATGCAGAGCCTGGAACGTGTACGCACGGACAGCACGGGCTCCGCTGTCTCCACTGACGACTCAGAGCAAGGTGGGTCATGAGAGCGGCCAGGAGGGAGGGAAAGCCAGGAGGGCAGGGTGGCCACGTGTGCCCAGCAGTGTGCAAGCACTCCCCAGTGTGGAGCAAAAGTCAATGGGATGAGGAGGGTGTGGCATGGAGGGCAGATGGCCTGCGGGAGTGAGCCATCGTGTTCCTCACCAGGCTGCAGACGGGAAGCCCTGTCCTGCCCCCACCCTCCAACCCCCACCCCCAGAGCCTTTGCCTCCTCCATGAAGGCCAGAGAACGGCCTTGACTTTGAAGGAACCCCTGTTGGCACCTCAGATTCTGACCCCATCCCCGTTCTCTCCAGAAGTGGACGTAGAGGGTATGGAGTTTGGCCCTGGTGAGCTGGACAGTGTTGGCAGCAGCAGTGACGTGGACGACCACTACAGCTTGCAGAGCGGTGGCTGCAGCGACGGGGGCTATGGGCCCCCCTGCCGGCGGCCTGGCCACCCTGGCCTCTCGTAGGCCTAGAGCCCTCAGCTCCTTGGCCCGCCTGCCTACCCGGCCAAGCGTGCCAGCCCTCCAGTCCTTGAAAGCCTCTCCGCGGGCCCGCTGCTGTGCCATTCTGGAAGCTCCAGCTGCCGCCCAGGCTGCCCGCCTCCGCCCGCCTGCCGGTCAGGGCCCGCTGTGCCGCCCACCCCTCCCAGCTGGGCAGGGACCCCTGCAGAGAGGCGGGGCCCAGCTCTCACATCCTGGAGCCCAGCGTAGCCGCCTGTTCTCAGATTCCTAATCATTCCAGAAGTATTAAATATCATTGCTGCAAATCTCGGCGGGCACCGTGTGAAGGGCTTAATGACCACTGCGGGGAGCTCACACCCCAACCCTGGATCCCAGGAGAAAGGAGTGGACCGAGGAAGGAAGGAAGGCGTGGCTCTCCGTCCATCTGTCCATCTGTCTGTCAGTCCACGTAGTCTCCTGAGGCCTGGACAGAGGGACCCATGAAGGGCGGGACTCGGGTGAGCACCCTGGGGCAAGTGGGCGGAGAGGGGCTTTTGCACCCCCACAGGTGTCAGGAGCTAGGGCTGGGCTCCTAGGGACAAGCCAAGCCATCCCATCCCAAGCTGGGCAGCTTCTGCTCTGTTAGGTCCCTCAGATGGACACATGCACACGCCTAGGCACACATGCCCCCATGCATACACATGCACACATGCAGACTCATGTGGTCACTTGACCCCAAGAGGGTACGTGTCTTGGGGAGTAGGCCCTCCAGGTCCTTTGGGCACATGCGGGCCCCTGGCCTATGCTGGCTCCTCCTCCCACCCTGGCTCACCTGCCTGCCTGTGGGGAAGGGGGCTTTTCCTCCCAGCAGGGGCTTAGTTGTGCTGGGGGTGGCAGCGGGAAGCCAGAGTCCTCAGGAGGCTTTCTCATCTACCTTTAAAAACAAAAAAAAAAAAGGCAAAAAAAAAAAAAAATGCTGCCCTGCCTAGTAGCCCAGAACAGGGCTCCCAGAAGAGAGGCTTTTTCCCTAAAACAAAAGAGAAACATTTTTAAAAGAGAAAAAAGCTCTAAAGACTCCCCACCAAGCAACATCAGCATGTGCTGCCTCGACTTCCTGTACGAGATTTTTGTACTCTATTTTCCTAGCCACCGTTGTGTCCTTGTTTGCTGAGGGTGGGAGCGACCCAGCGTCTCAGGGACTCGTCTTGTCTGTCACCGTTGTCCAAGTGTGCCTTGTGTCCCACATCTGGCCCTGCCCCGCCCACCACCACCAGCATCTCCCCTGTGGCTCCAGGGCACCCTGGCCCGCCCAGCAGGTGACCTCCTAGCTTCCTCCCCACACGTGCCAGCCACTGGTGGCAGTCACGGCTTTCTGGGAGTGAGAGCCTGAGAGCCAGTGGGGCCAGGTCAGGGGCTGTGCGGGCAGCTCTCTGCTACCTGGCCTCCCAGTGACCCAGCACTCTTGCACCCCGTTTCACCCTCTCCAGGGGTTGGTCAGAGCCCGCTGGGCAGCCTGGCCTCCTGGTCAGGAGCCTGCTAACCAGAGAAATAGGTTCTTACCTGTACCCAGCTTGACGCTTCCCTACTCCCTGGCCTGGGGTGAGGCCTGCAGATTTCAGATATTGGCAGCTGCTGAACACAGCCCACCACCTGGGGTAGCCAGGCGTGGACATTAGGAGGCCTCTCCTGGCCTTTCCTGAAGGTTTCTGAAGTCCTTGTCCACACAGCAATATTTGGGTGGTTTGCTGTGGGGCTGGCCTGCAGTAGGGTCAGCTTCCCTTTCTGGTGCATTGTAACCAATTTCCAGATTGTGGGGGAAGGTTCATGTTTATATTTGGTCATGCCGACAGACACCCCAGGGTGGGTGGAAGAACGGGTCCCTGGAAACATCTCTGGCACAGACTCTGCCCTGCAGGGGCTCAGGATGACAAGTGGAAAGCAGGTTGGTGGGAGACAGGGCATGAACTGGGGAGACCGTGCAAACATCTTACTGTTGGTTTTAAGGAAAACGATTCTGTCAGCATCTCCTTCCAGCTTCCTGGGGTGAGGAGGGTGTCTGGAGTGCCCAGAGTGGCTTCTCCTGTCTGCCTGAGCATGTCCACAGAGTGAATGTTCCTGGTGAGCATCCAGCCCTCTCTGGGCAGCATAGGAGTGCCTGAGTTGAAGACCCACTACAGGAGCCACAAGTCCAGGCCCTGGGTTGGTCTTTGCTCTGAATTCTTAAAGCACCAGCTCCCCCATTAGCTGGGGGCTCTGCTCCCTCCCTAGCCAGCAAAGTCCTCCCTGGGTGACCAGTGGTGGTCCTCAGCTGACCTTCCTGGCAGCTCAGCCCATGGTATTTCAGGCCATGGTTGCCACAGGCCGGGAAGCTGACCTCCCTGCCACCAGAAGACAGGTGAGGGGTGGTCCTCAGGGCCAGGATCTGGTGCTAGAAGTTACACATCCATTCTCTCGTCCTTTGGCTCCCTGCCTTTTGCACGGATTAGCTGTTGCTATTGGCCACAGAGACCCAGAGGGAGCCTGGCTGAGGCTACGTTGGATAACTGAGCATTGTTGAGCCTGTAGAGAGCAGATGGGGGCAGAACAGGGCTGTAGGGGTACCTGTGACCTCTGTTTGTATGCCCCCCACATACACCTAGTGGGTCACTGTGGCCCTCAGTGGCCAGGATCCTGGAGCTCCAGGCTCAGGTCTGGGCCCACATCCTCCCTGGGAAATGGCCCCCATACAGCAGGCCCAGCTGGCAAGGGAGATTGTGAGAAGGCTTCCCCTCCTCGGAGCCCTGGCCCACCTCTGCGGTTTGAGTCCTGAGCCCAGTGCCCAGACCTGCTCTCCTGGCTGATGGAGCTGTATGCCCAACTATAGCCCTGAGGGCCCCAGACAATCCCCATCTGCTGAGTGAGGCAGGCTTCCCCCACTCTCCCACCCCCTGCCTCTTTCTGGGCTGGCTAACCTGGGGCCCCCTCCCCAGAACTCTGACCCTGGGCCACATTTAGGGCAGGTTCTGTGCCAGAGTCTGGGGCTGCCCAGGGGGCCTGGTGCTGGCCAGGTCAGCGTATCACAAGGTCTTCGCCGGAGAGAATTGGGCCACCCACCTGCCTGTTCACCGGGAGGGACTGTGCTGTACCATTCTGTCTTTGTAATATAAATACAGATTTTTATACCTCACCCCTCTCGCTTCCAGTTCTTTCCATCACCACATTTGGCTCCTCTCTCCTCAGCCTCCGTAGGGAGCCTGAGCCCACTGGTGACTGTGTCAGCCTTCACTGCCCTGCCCACAGCTTCTGCTTTCAGGGAACCCCACAGACTGTGGTCCTTCTCCACTGCCAGCTGGCTACCACCATCATGGCTGCCTCCCTGTACAGACACAGCTGGAGCTGAATGAAAGTGGAGGCCCACCACACCCCCACCACTTGCCAACCAGGTGCTCTTGCTGTTGGCATTCAGACTTTGCTCCTGGCCCTGGGGCTGGAGCAGGGTCTCATGAGGACAACTAGGTCCTTGGGGGGGTCAGGCTCAGAGTGGGTACTGGGTGTTCTCAGCCAGGTGCCCTGTCCACACAGCTGCTGTTGACTGTCAGGGATGCACCTTGAGAAACTTTCCTTGGACCTGTCCTTGGCATGGCCTCTGCCTGCTGCCCTCAGGACCTGCTGTGCAGGGCAGGGGTGTGAAATGGTATGGCCCTGGGTGCAAGTCATCTAGGAGACAAAATGCTCAGGTAGTGGGGAGTCGGGTAGCAGAAAAGGACTTTTCTGGGGACCCCAGGGCATCACAGCACACTGGAGATGGCTCAGTGATTCCCTCTAGCAGGCTTTGGGCTGTTAGGGCACTCTGGGGAGGACTTGGGGTTCCTCCTCCTTCCCCCAGCAGGCAGCAGCACTTACCTCTGGAACCTGGTTGAGTCCCCCTGGGAGCATCTCTGAAAAAATTCCTAATGACAAGGCAGCTGGGGCTTGGGGTGTGAATGTAAATGAGGGGCTTCTGAATTCCAAATATTGCTGTGACTTAAGACCACACAGGGGCTCCAGCTGTGCTAAGCAGAAATCAGGGCCTGCTGTCCTCATACTGGGCTTATCTCAAAGACAAAAAACAGGCTCAGACAAGGCACACACCTGCCCCAGGTCACCCACTGAGCGCAGTGGGCCTGGGACCCGACCCTGGTCCTCAGGGAAAACCCTTCCTGCCACCAGATGCCATCTCCAGATTCAGCCTGGATTACAAGCAGCACCCCTAAGGGGGACCCTGCCTCCACATCAGCCCTCCCTTCCAAGCTCTTTTTGGCAGGCAGAAGGACCTCAGGTGGTCCTGTTCCCCCCACAGCCTTAATCTCACAGCCTGCTTCCTCCCCATGGGCTGCTGCACCTTCAGTGCTTGCTTCCCACTCCCACTTTAGAGTCCCTCCGTCCCTATGTACTCACCACTCTAAGCTCAGCTCTGTGACCTGATCCTATGCCCCTTTCCATCACACTTCTGCCAGGAATATGGCCCCCAAATTTGGGTGTTGGTCTAATCTGAGTTAATCCGATGGCAAGACCATTTCCATGCTATTTCCTCTGTTCCCCGGCCCAAGCCAGGCCAGGCCCTCTGCATGCTAGCTACAGGCAGATCTTTCCAGAACATAAATGGGATTATGCCACTTGCCTGTTGAGTTCGAGGTGGCTCTCAACTGCCTCCTTGGCCTGTCTTGAGGCTCTGATGAGACCCCGAGCCCCCTATCAGGCCCCTCACTGCTGCCTTCCTCTGAGCCCTCTCACCCCCAAACTCTTCTCACCCCTAACTGAACCATATTGGTGAGCTCCTGACCTCAACCTGCTCCTGAGAGTGAGCACTGAATTTTTCCTTTGGTACATGAATATCAGCATGATGGAAGACAAAACCACTTTCTTCCCATCCCCTTCCTTGATAGCCTCTGTTTTCTTATGACTAGGAAGGACTAATGGGAAGAATAGAAGTGCACCTTCTTGTTAGCTGGAAACAGAGTCATCCAGTCTCTGGCCGGCCCTCTGGGTCCAGAGTTGTACCCTCAAGGTGGCTCCCTGACCCTCAGGGAACCAGCTTTGCTCCTCCTCTCCCCAAGGCACCTCCCTGTATCTGTCTCTTGCCACCTTTTTCACATTTGTTACTGCAAAATAAAGCTTCTCCCATGTCTGAGAACTTCACTCCTCATTGCTTCAAGAATGGAGTCCCATCAGTCCCGAAGACTGCATCTAGGAACAAATGATCTTTAACATCACACTTCATTTAGACATATCTAAAAACATATTGTCCAGAACCTAAAATAGTTTTTAGTAGCAGCAGGAGAAAAAAAGATTCCTAAAGGAAGGAGAAAAAGCTGTCGACGAACCCATGTGCGCTCACAGCTGTGCGTGGGGGCCTGCTGAGCCCACTGTGTGCCTCCTCATTGCTTCCTCAGAGAGGGCTCGTCGTGGGTTCCCTGAATCTTTAGACTCTATAAGGACCCCACTAAAACTCCAAATGATTTTGGTTGGAGGAAAGAAAACTTGTCCTGGAAATACATGTAACATATTTGCTTTCTTAAATCCAAAACACAACTTTAAGTGCAGAAATGCCCTAATAAGTCAAGTTTGCAAAGAAAGCTTCCTGGGTCTGTGTGATGAAACCTGTTGTGCGTTGTTTGTACTCTGAGAGCTAATAATGTTCTGATTTTGACTTTATATTTGTATGGCTTTCTTTTTTTTTTTTTTTTTTTTTTTTGCCCCACAAACATCTTTCAAACAAATCACCATGGTCAGCAATTCAAAAATCAGACGGAAAATTGCGGGCTCAGGAAACAACCCAGAAGTTACAAGGAAAAGTGGGCACTATAGGACACCTTCATGTGCCTCATCCTCTGGGCCATGGAGATCTTCCAAAAAAAGCAGCCCCTTTCTTTCTTCTCCTCTTTTCTGAGTTCCTCTTCACAGTCTATAAACATCCCCAAGTTCCTCTCAACTTAAATCCAAACCCTCCCCCCCATGCCACATTCCCACCCCCTCATCTCGTGTCATTCTGCTTCTCTCCCTCCCTCAATCTCTGCCTCCTCAGCAAAATGTCCTGGAGGCGCTGTCTGAACTTCCTCCCTCCCAGCCAGCTCAGCTCCTGTCCCTCGGGGCGCTGAGTCCCATTCTGCCCCCAGGATCAGTGGCCAAGGGAGTCCTCCTGGTCCATGGGCTCTGACCTTTTCTCCCAGCTCACCAGCAAGATGGTTTCCTCCAGATGGGGGACCAATCTGATTTTTTTCCCCTGTAAAGTTTGCTTTTCAGATCATTTGAGGCTTTGCTATCTTTTAGAAGAGGAAAATAGACAAGTAAAACAAATGAATTAAGAAGTATCTTCCACTCAATATTGATCCATATCTGCCTTAGACCATTCTCTTTTTCTCCCCATTAAAATATTGAGAAAAATTATCCAGAAAGACTTCTGCCCTTCCGAGGTCACAGGAGACGAGGATGTCTCTAATAAGCCACCTTCGGGTCATTTGATGCTGGGGGTGGAGGGATACTGACTATGGAGTAACGACAGGACCCAAACTTTGCACATTTAGACATTCATCCGTAGAAGCCTGGTGAGAGAGAAATGAGCTTGTCGGGTAGGGATTCCAGCAACTGCTGCCGATACCCAGGGTAACCTGAAGGTCAGCTTGCTCGGCCATGGGGCATCAGCCAGGTGTGCACAGAACCTCGCACTTTGAGCGCAGCTATCCCCGGCTCACACAGTGGTGCCCCATGTCCTGGGTCTGGCACCCTCCTTGGAAACAGAGTTTCGTCTCTATGAAACGTACCACACATATCCACTTATGTTCCTGTATTTTCAACTTTTTAAAAGTTATATATTTGAGGGGCGACTGGGTGGCTCAGTCAGTGAAGCGTCTGCCTTCGACTCAGGTCATGATCCTGGGGTCCAGCCCCATGTAGGGCTCCCTGCTCAGAGGGGAGTCTGCTTCTCCCTCTCCCTCTGCTGCTCCCCCTGCTTGTGCTCTTGTGCTCGCTCTCTCTCTCTCAAATAAATGAATAAAATCTTTTTTAAAAGTTATATTTTGAAAATGGGATTGTGGAGGAAATCTGTTTTTGCTTAGTGGTCAGGGGAGGGCTTGGGGATGGCGTGCTTTGCAAAATAAGGTTCAACGCAAAAGCTGGTAAAGCGAGGACCGACATCAGCCGAGCCTAGAGACGCCGAGTCCCAGAGCTCGTGCGCTCCCAGGACTCGGGGAGGGGACGCGCTCTCTGAAACCGGTCCCGGCGGTGCACAGCCCACCGGTCGGGTGCCCCCAGCCGCGGCCAGGCTTTCTCTGAAAACGGCCTCGTTAGAGGGGGACCTAGGGAACCCGAGGGCAGCCGGAGCCAAGGAGCCGGGCCAGGACAGGCGTACCGCCTGAGGATACACCGCGCCCAAACCCGCCCCGCCCCCGCACCCCCCACCCGGCCCGGCGCGCCCAGGCCCCGCCTCCCCACGGCATGGAACCAATCCGCTTGCCTCCGCTGGGAGACGTCAGGTCAGAGGGCGGGACGACGCCCTGCTCAGCTCCGCCCCAAAGCCCCTCCTCGCCAGGCCCGCCTCTTCCGACGCCACGCCTGCGCAGACGGTCACGCCACGGCCCTGCCTCTACCCTGTGCGCGCGCGCGGGGTGGCAGCGCTCCCGTGAGGCAGTGCGAGGCGTGGAGCGCGGCGGCGGGCTTCTGAGGGGGCGCGCGCCGAGTTTTCGGAGGTGAATGGCGCCGGTCTCGCCCTTCCAGGGAGTCGCGGGGCGTGGGGCTGTGGGAACGGCGCCGATCCCGCAGCTGCTGCTTCTTTCCAGGCGTCCCTGGGGACTCCTTTCAGGCGCGCGATTAGTCCGCGCGGCGCAGCCGGGGTCCTCAGCACTTGGAGCGGGGGCGAAGGCGAGGGGTGAGGACAGGGAGCGCGAGTAGAAGCGAGAGGTGGCCGTGGGCGGGGAACTCGTGGCCCGTGAGAGACTGAGGGGGCGTCCGTTGGGAGGCGGGGCGGGGCCTGCCCTGGTCCTCGGAGCGGTGGAGACGCGGGTGGGGGCGGGGCCTCCCGGGCAGGGGGGCGGGGTCGCTGCTGGTGCTCCGGGCGGCTGAGACCCGGGCGGGGCCGCTGCTAGTCTTCCTGGACCGCTGAGACGCGGGCGCGGGCGGTCGCGCCCAAACTCCACCGAGCCGGGCGCGCGGGTCTGGGATCAGTGTAGTTTGTCTTTAACGCCAGTTCTTCAGCTTTCGTGGGTGTGTGTTTTATTTACGCGGGTCCATGTGGCTCGCGTGTGTGCGCGGCGGGCCGCCGCCCCTCGGGTCCCCTTGGAGCGTGGGTGGTAGTTCCGCAAGTGCCAGAAGTGCCGCAAGTGCCCTTACCCTCTGCAGCTTTGGTCCTTGTGAAGTCACGGGGGCTTGGTTTGTTTGTTTGTTTTTGCTTCATTTGGGTTTGGGGGTACAGTCGGGGTGCAGCGTCGTGATGAGCTGGCGAGCTGGTTGCTGCTTTGTCTTCCTGCCGGCCGTCCCGAGCACGCGACGTTTCCCTTCTCTGACGGGGGCGTGAGGTTCGGCTTGACCGTGGATCTTAAATTTGAAGCCGGCTGTCGTCTGCCCTAGGTCGGCGGTGTGGACACGGACTGCTGTGTGAACGGCGGATGCTGCCCCGGGTCGTGGAGGTAATGCTCAATTGACTCTTTCTCAAGAACTTTTCCAACTGAGGAAGGGTGGGGAGGAGAGGCCGCCTTGCCCGGCTGGCTCAGGCTTGTCTATATACGTTTGTGTTGACTTAGGCCGAGTGATGAACTGACCTGCTGTGTCAGATACGGTGTATTTTAGGTGCCGATCTTTGGGACGGTTTTCATCATTTTTGCAGTGTACTGAATGGGACCCTGATGGTGTAGTTTGTCTTCATCAGACACCTCAGCCGTAACTACCTCTGCGTTAGATGGTTCCCAGATACTCTGATATTTATCTGTACTGCTTTTCACAAATACGGTTGCTATATTTGTGGTCTAATACTTGTTTTTTACTCCCGCCCCCTAGGAGAAGTCAGATTCTAAAAGTATTTTTCCCTTCTCTATGGACTTAACATAAAATTAGTCTGCGTTTGGGTCTGTTTTCTAAATACCAACAAACACCATAAGCTCAAATCCCCTACAAATTCACTGGGTTCTTCAGCCATGATTTGTGGGAAAGACTTTGTGGAAACGTTAAAAAAAATCAATTATCCCAAAGCTGATATTCTTAATGGGGAAGATTTTGACTGGTTGTTTGAGACTGTTGAAGATGAATCATTTCTGAAGTGGTTCTGTGGAAGTGTGAATGGACAGAATGTATTGTCTGAGGAAGAATTGGAAGCTTTTAGCATTCTTCAAAAATCAGGCAAGCCCATCCTAGAAGGAGCAGCATTGGATGAAGTTCTTAAAACCTGTAAAACTTCTGATTTGAAAACATCTACCCTGGATGACAAAGAGCTAGAGAAGTTAGAGGTTGAGGTTCAAACTCTGCAGAAATTAAAGAACCTAAAAATTCAACGACGTAATAAATGCCAGGTGATGGCTTCGGAAACAAGCCACAAATCTCTGAGGTTAAATGCTAAAGAAGCAGCAGCCACTAAAAGGCTGAAGCAGAGTCAAGGAATTCTAAATGCCATGAATACTAAAATAAGTAATGAACTTAAAGCTCTTACTAATGGAGTTGCTAAACTGATGATTTTCTTCAAACATTCTAATTTGGATCAAGGGGCAAATCCACTGGTGTTTTTATCTCAGTTTTCCTTGGAAAAATATCTAAGCCAAGAAGAGCAAAGCACAGGAGCATTAACTTTATATACCAAGAAACAATTTTTTCAGGGTATACATGAAGTAGTCGAAAGTTCAAATGAAGAAAATTTTCAACTTTTAGATATACGGGCACCATCTATTTGTGATAATCGAGAAATCCTTGAGGAGAGAAGGCTGGAGATGGCTAGGCTGCAGCTAGCTTACATTTGTGCTCAACATGAGTTAATTCACTTGAAAGCAAGTAATTTGAACATGAAGTCAAGTATACAATGGGCAGAGGAGAATCTTCATAGCCTCACTAGAAAGGTAAACATGAGACTGGACTGGATCCATACTGTAATTGTTTGTAATAGAAGATATGTTAATAGTAAAGTACTTTTAGAAAGGAGGATGAAACAAGTAAATTTCTGAATTTGAAATTTGTGTTGGTTCAGACTCAGAGGATACTGAAATTCCCTCTTTTATGACATCTAGGTAAAGAGCGTGTTGCTTTGTCATAGGTATTCCACTTTATTTGCTCCTTGTTGGGTGCTATTGAAGTCAGGGATCCAGTTTGTTGGACTGAAACCCTGATTTTTTTGTTGAGAATGTGCAGATAAGTGCACATACCCATCTGCACTCCTGGAAAGCTTACTTTCTTAGTTACATAACCACTACATAATTGAGTGAAAATACAACTGAAACTGAATACTAGCACCAAGTTAGTTCCTATAACTGACATAAACTTTGAAATAGTGTATGAAGTTTTGTCATTCTTTGCAAGCTAGGAGAATAGCTACTAGTATTATTTTAGTTTTAAGAAAATTTAAATAGTATACATTTGCATTCAGTGAGTAGTGTGCTAATGATTTTTATTAAGACAAGCATGACAAGATTTGTAGCCATTCATAGCCATTCGTATATATGTGGTAGTAATAGCATTAAAATTTAGCAGTTTACCTTTGGCTTAGTCTATGTTTTTCCTTTTTTATACTGTAATTTTGGCTTTTGTTAATAATATGAACTTAGTTTTTATTAGCACGATATCTGATGACCCCAAATGTAAAGTAAAAATGATTTTAAAAGTATTTCAACTTTATACTTACAGCTTTATCATTTAATTGCTTTTTCTGTGTAGGCTCTTGGCAAAGATAATTTGGATGCTAAAATTTCTACCTTGAACAGTGAGATTCTGAAACTTGAAGAACAAATCTCTCATATGAAAGATAAAAGTTTGTCTGCTGTGATAAAAGAGAATGCCCAGTTATTGAATATGCCAGTCGTAAAGGGAGATTTTGATCTACAGATTGCTAAGCAAGACTATTATACAGCAAGACAAGAGTTAGTTTTAAATCAGTTAATAAAGCAAAAAGCATCTTTTGAACTTCTACAGTTATCATATGAAATCGAATTGAGAAAGCATTGGGACATATATCGTCAACTTGAAAATTTGGTTCAAGAACTTAGTCAAAGTAACACGATGCTCCACCAGCGATTAGAAATGCTAGCAGACCCGTCAGTATCTCAGCAGATAAATTCAAGGAATACCATTGATACCAAGGACTTCTCTACTAATAGGTATGCTTCTTTGTTTCTTTATTGCTTTTGTTTCTATAAAATACTGTATAGAGTGTGAACTAAGGTTGTGGAAGTTTAAAACATAATTTGCATTCTGTGTTTGGCTCTCTGTTCTCTTCTTTCATTTTTCTTGTATATGACTCTTTTGAATATTTTGCTCCTTTTTCCATTCATATGAAAGCCAGAAGTAGCTGTATCAGAGCTGAGGTGGATAGGTTGGAGGAGTGAATGTATATACAAGGTCTTATTCACCTTTAGGCACTATTATTTAGATGTCTTATTTGAGATTGGGGCAGGAGTTTTAACTACAGAGAGTTTGAATAGTGCACAGTGTGTGTACTCAGTATTGCTAGGCAGAGAACTGATTCCATTCAGAGAGGTTGTCAGCTGAAAGAGGAGAAGACTGACTTTGTTTCTTCTCAGGTGAGTCTATGAGAATGAATGCTACCTCCCAATCTCTTTTTATCTAGAGTTTAAGCAGTTGATGGTAGAGGGATACTAAATTTGGAGTACTAAAGTAGTCAAAGGACTCAGAAATCTGAAACCTACTCCTGATGTTTCTCTAGTACTAGAGGAAAATCAATTAATCCTATATATATATATATATAGAATATATTCTATATATATAAAATATTTGAGAGAGAGGGAGACAGCAAGTGAGCATGAGCAGGTGGAGGGGCAAAGGGAGAAGGAGAGGGAGAAACAGATTCTCTGCTGAGCAGGGAGCCTGATGCAGGCCTGGATCCCAGGACCCTGGGATCAATACCTGAGCTGAAGACAGATGCTTAACCAACTGAGCCACCCAGGCATCTCTCCTTTTTTTTTTTTTTTTTTTCTTATTAATGAGATGAGGGGCATGGAAAGGGTGGCATTCACATCATGACTAAGAATGGTGTCGTGTCGTCCCCCCCCCCCGCCCCTGCCAAATTGTGTAGTCACATCCCTGGGGAACAAAATTGGCAACCTTGGACTTGAACCACTTTTGTGAAATCTATTGCAATTTATTAAAATAATTAAAATAAAAAATATATATTTTTAATTCAGATAATTCAGAGGAAAAGGAGAAACCCTTTTTGTCAGAAATGTGCAGAAAATACTGCCTCACATTTTTCTATTTGTTCCTAAGGATTTTCTGCCATTAATATTTGAAGTGTTAAAGTAGCCTAATGGTTCATTAGGAATTTAATTTTATAATTAAATATGGATAAGACTGGTGTAGCAAGTTCACTATTTCTGTAGTCTCTGTTTACTTTTTTTTGACATTTTATATTGTTTTCATTTTTTGTCTCTTAACATCTGCCATTCTTTAGCAATAGATATATGATGTGAACAATTTAGTCTGTGGTTGACTTGACCTAGGTGTCAAAAGACAGGCAGAACTCAAACCTAGATCTTCTATTTCAGGTTCATTGCTATTTCTACTATATCATAGGTGTATTCTGTGACAGAAATGTTTTCTTGAGAGCTGTCTTTGAAACATGCTTTGTTTGAAATAAGCTAATGGCAGTTACAAGTCAAAAAGTATATTTAAAACTTGGGAGATGAGAAAGTGGAAAGCAGATACAGTAGTTACAATACGTATTTCTGTAATGAGATGGTATTTTAGGTGGAATATTTTGGTTGCTTGATTTAGCAGCAGATTAATTTTTTTCCAGGTTAATATTTTTAATCTGTTATATATCTCCAGATCTGCCCAATACAGTGGATTATAATTTTGAGAATTGTACTGACTTGAGAATTTTTTCCTACATTTTTTATTTTCACCTTTTAGGCTTTATCAACTTTTAGAAGGAGAGAATAAGAAAAAAGAATTGTTTATAACCCATGGAAACCTGGAGGAAGTGGCTGAGAAATTAAAAAAGGATGTTTCTTTAGTACAAGATCAATTGGCAGTATCTACTCAAGAACACTCTTTTTTTCTGTCCAAACTGAATATTGATGTGGACATGCTTTGTGATACTTTGTATCAAGGAGGAAATCAGCTATTGCTTAGTGATCAGGTGGGTGCTTGCCATAGTAACTGAAAATGCTGTAAAAAATGTTTTATTTTTTATTTATTTATTTTTTAAAAGATATTTATTTATTTATTAATGAAAGACACACAGAGAGAGGCAGAGACACAGGCAGAGGGAGAAGCAGGCTCCACGCGGGGGGAGCCCGACGTGGGTCTCGATCCCAGGACTCCAGGATCACACCCTGGGCCAAAGACAGGTGCTAAACCGCTGAGCCACCCAGTTACCCCTAAAAAATATTTTAATTTTTTTAAATTAATTTATTTATTTATGATAGTCACACACACAGAGAGAGAGAGAGAGAGGCAGAGACACAGGCAGAGGGAGAAGCAGGCTCCATGCACAGGGAGCCCGACGTAGGATTTGATCCCGGGTCTCCAGGATCGCGCCCTGGGCCAAAGGCAGGCGCCAAACCGCTGCGCCACCCAGGGATCCCCCTAAAAAATATTTTAATATAGTTCTGTCTTACATAGTTAGTATTCCATTTTATGAAATTCCACAATTTAATTATCTGTTATGTTGACAGACATTTAAGTTATTTTCAGTTTTTGCTATTGTAGATCATACTGCTGCAGATGGTCTTACTGTGTGTCTCACAGCTGTGTGTGTGTACACATAGGGACACTCCATCACTGAAGAGTGGAATTGTTTTTTCCAAAAACTAAACCTGTGATATGCAATTCCACTCTTCAGTGATGGAGTGTCCCTATGTGTACACACACACAGCTGTGAGACACACAGTAAGACCATCTGCAGCAGATTTTCTCTCCTCCTGCCCCTGCCCCACTCGCATGTGCCTGTGCTTGCTCTCTCTCTAAAATAAATAAATCGTCAAATTCATTTGTAGAAGTTTATGTATTTCAAGTGCTGATCCTTTGTCAGTCATGTGTGTTATATATATTCATTCTCTATTTATAGCTAGTCTTTTTTACTTTCTTTGTTTTTGGCTTTTTTTTAGCACTTTAATTTTTATCTAGTTTATTACTCTGTGGTTTGCCATTTTTTATATCTCATTTTTCATATTTTGTTAAGGTTTGTTCTTAACAGCATAATGATAGTCCTTTTTACTTTATCTGAAAGTTATGCTGTTCACTTTTAGTTCTTTAGTCTACCAGGAGTTTATTTTTATGTGTGATAGGAGGTAGAGTTCTAACTTTATTGTTTTTAATTTTTTCTCCCTATAAACAAATTGTCCCATCACCACTGATTGAGGCATACAATAAAAATAAAATCCCTCTCTTTCTGGTGAAGGGAGCCTCTTATTGTGAAATAAATGATCCTTGAGTGCCTTTTTCTTTCATATCTCTTTGTTAGATACTATGGGCAGGACCAGTTCTAAACCTTAAACTGAGTTAAGTGTAAGAGTCTGTAGGACCCAAGTGATTCCTGCCTGGCTTGTAATTCTATCCAGGGGCTCTTCCACTTCAGACCATTCTGATCCTGAGATTGTTGGTATCCTGTGAGTCCTTGGCTTATTATGAAGAGGGTCTCCCATCTGACTTCCCATTTTCTGTGGACTTTGGGCTTTGATTTTCTTCCCACTCATCTTGTGAGTCTCAAGAATCCTAGGTTCTAATTTTCCAAGATTGGTGGTTGCCCTAGAGTAAAGCTGCTCCTGGACTGCCTTACCAATCTGGGATGTTTTATGGACTTGTAGTTCCTTGATGCCTTGTTATCTCTTCATTGCTTTCAGAAAGCTTTTGTTTTGCTTGATTTTTAAAAAACTTCATTTAGCCTTTTACATTTTTTTCTTATGGAAGGATTGATTTGGATAATTAACCTACCTTTTCTTGGAATGGGAATGCTTATGACTAGTTTTTTTAAATAATATTTTTATTGTAAAATATAAAATAGTTCTAACCATTTTTAAGTGTACAATTCAGGGAAATTAAGTACAAAAGTACATTCATATATTGTGCAACCATGATCACTATATATTTTCCCAGAGCTTAATCATCCCAAAAAGAAACATTAAATAATAAATAGTAACTTTTCACTCCTTCCTTCTAGCCCGAGATAACTTCTTTTTTTTTTTTTCCGGGATAACTTCTATTCCACTTCCTGTCTCAATGAATTTGCCTGCTCACCTAATAGAAGTGAAATTCTATGTTTATATGATTTAAGTTTTATCCATGTTGTAGCATGTGTGAGAATTTTATGCCTTTTTATGGCCAAATAATACTTCATTGTATATATGTAGTACATTTTGTTTGTCTATTGATGGTCATTTGGGTTGTTTCCACCTTCTGGCTGCTGTGAACATTGGTGTACAGGTATCTGAGTCTCTGTTTTTGTTTCTTTGGCGTATATGCCTAGGAGTGGAATTGCTGAATCATGTGGTAGTTCTGTTTAACTTTTTGAGTAAGTGCCTAACTTGCGCAGCAACTGCACCATTTTATATTTTCACCCACTGTGCACAGGGTTCCAGTTTCTCCATATGCTTGTCTACACTTGTTATTTTCTTTTTTTAAAAAATATATACTAGGTATCCTAATAGCCTGAAGTGATTAACTGTGATTTTTTTTTATAATCTATTACTGATTTTGTCTTCTAGATTTATTAATTTTATAAAAACTTCCCATGATGGTAGATTTGAAAATGTATTGTTTTGACTCTTTCAATTTTTCCTTTATATTTGAGTTTATTTTATTTTTTATTTTTTTAAAAGATTTTATTTATTCATGAGAGACATCGGCAGAGGGAGAAACAGGCTCCTGTGGGGAGCCCAGTGTGGGACTTGATCCTAGGATCCTGAGATAATAAGCTAAGCCAAAGGCAGAAGGTCAACCACTGAGCCACCCAGGCATCCCTAAGTTTATTTTATAAGTTACAGTTGGTCCTTGAAGAACATGAGGTTGAAACATGGGTCCACTTGTATGCAAATTTTCCTCAAAAAATAAATGCAGTGCAGTACTGTAAATGTATGTTCTTATAATTTTAATATTTTCTTTTTTGTAACTTTATTATAAGATTATAGTATATAATACACATAACATATATACAGATATGTATTAGTCAACTGTACATCAACAGTAGGCTACCTACCAGTAGTTAAGTTTTGGGGAAGTCATTTTACACAAATTTTCAACTATACAGAGTCAATGCTCTAACATCCCCCCCCCCCGCACCATATTGTTTAAGGGTCAGCTGCATATCTAATTTTAAAATTGTGGTGAATTATTATCCTGGTGGCTTGAAATACAGTGAATTGAACCATTTAGTATTACATAATGATCTTCTGTATTTTAACTGTGCTTTTTGTCTTAACATTTTTTTGTCTGATTAATAGTCCTATATACCATCTTTCTTTCGGTTAGTATTTGAAGGTATGTATTTTTCACTTTTACTTATACATCTCTCTTATTCTTCCTTTTTACTTAGCATTATGAAATCATTTTTACTCTGAATGATTTTAATTTTTATGTTACAGTAATTTCTGTAACCAATGTACCATTGAATATTTTGCTAGTCTTTTTGTTTGTTTGCGTTTGAACAGCAACATGTATATCTTGTGTATATAGCTTTTTGTTGTTGGATACTTTCATTTGGATGAATTCTTGGAAGTAGGATTATTGGGTTTCTTGGGTATGTACATTTTTCTTTTGGCCTTTGATGCTGTCATACTGCTTTTCTGAAGAGTCACACCTATTTTCATTGCCACCAGCACTATTTAAATATCTACTGGATACCATCAGTTATATGGTATGCTGTCATTTTATGAATTGCTAAAAAAGAAAAAACTTTCAATTAAACTGGCACAATACTATCTTATTAGAATTTTTATTGAATACTTACTAGAAGGTATCTTTTAGGTTCAGGCATAGATTTTTATCATATTACTCTTGAATATACACATTAAAAGAAAGAGACACAATTAAAGTGGTTAGGGTATTTCAGAGCTTCACACTTAACATGCAGTTCTATGTTGTTTTTTGACTCAAAATTATTGTCTTTATTTTTCTACACTATACATTGAGAGTGTTGGTGATAGCAAAAAAACCTAATAAACCAATTAAAAAATGGACCAAAGATTTGAATAGAGCTTTTTCCACAGAAGACATACAAATGGCCAACAGTATATATGAATAGTTGCTCAGTGTCACTCATTGTCAGGGAAATGCACATCAAAACCACAATGAGATGTCACCTTACACCTGTTAGAGTGGTTAGTAGCAAAAAAGCAAAATCAGGGGCATCTGGGTGGCTCAGTCAGTTAAGCATCTGACTCTTGGTTTTGGTTCAGGTCATGATCTCATGGGTCCTGGGATCAAGCCCTGTGTGGGGCTCTGCCCTCATTGAAGAGTCTGCTTAAGGATTCTCACCCTCTGCCCCTCCCCTCACTCATGTGCTTATGCATGTGCATGCACTTTCTCTCTCTCAAATCTTTTTTAAGAAAGCAGAAGTATTTACAAGGATGTGGAGAAATTGGAACCCTTGTACACTGTTTGAGGGAGTGCAAAATGGTGTAGCCACTGTGGAAAATAGTGTGGAGTTTTCTTAAAAAAGTAATGATCCATATGATCCAGTAATTCCACTTCTGAGGGTTTAAAATTTAAAACAAAAGAATTGAAATCAGGATCTTGAAGAATTATTAGCACTCCTACATCCATTATAGCACTATTTATAGTAGTCACATTATAGAAATAAATGTCTGTCAATGAAGGAATGGGTAAAGAAGATGTGATATATACAAAGTCTTATTTAGCCTTAATAAAAAGAAACGCTGTAATATGGGATAACATGGATGAACCTTGAGGAAATTATGCTGAGTGAAATAAACCAGTCACAAGGACAAATAATGTATGATTTCACTTACAGACATATCTAAAATAGTCAAACTCACAGAGGCAGAGGGTAGAATGGTGGTTAGCAGGGATTGGAGAGAGGCAAATGGTGGTGTTTGTTTTTTAAAGATTTTATTTATTTATTCATGAGAGACAGAGAGAGAGAGAGGGAATAGCAGGCTCCATGCAGGGAGCCTGAAGTGGGACTCAATCCCGGGTCTCCAGGATCAGGCCTTGGGCTGAAGGCGGCACTAAACCACTGAGCCACCCGGGCTGCCCGGAAATGGGTTGTTAATCAAGAAATGTAAAGTTTCAGTTATGAGAGGTACATAAGTTTTAGCGATATGCTGTACAATGTTTTGCCTGTAGTTAACAATACTGTGTTGTACTCTTAAAAATCTATTAAAGGGGAGATCTCATGTTAAGTGTTCTTAACCCAATAAAAAAAATTTTTTAATGTTGGTAATAAAGCATTTCTTATGAATGGCTAATAATAATTACATGATGCTCTTGATTATAAATTGGTATGGATTTCAGATATTTTAAAATGTGAAAGATTGCATCCTAGAATCATAAAGTATGATGATTTCACTATAATCTTACTGGGTGTCATTATTTAATGTTTTTCCCTAACCCAGTGAAATATAAAAATGCCATCTGTATACATTTTAATTTGCATTTTTGTTGTTAATGAAGGCTATTTTTCAGTATCTGTAGGAATATTATCTTAGCAACTATTAAGATCTTTAGTACTGAAATTGAGGGTGAGATTGTAGTTTCTCATTCATGTTTACCAAGTTTTTCTTCAAGGGGAAACTACTTAATGTAGATATTATTTGATTTTGTTAAAGTGTAATTGAGGAAGTACTGCTCTCTAGAACTGGCATTTATGACAGGTGTAAAGCAGTCATTTTTGAACTTGTTTATTAGAATCATCAGGGAGCCTGTTGGGAGTTTGAGTAATTTAGTACGGAGTGAGGTGCAGGAATATGTATTCATAACAAGCACCCCAGGTGATTACCATGTTCATGAACCATACTGAGGACGTGCAGAAGGCTGAGATAGAGCTACAGATTTTCTCTTTGATGATACTAGCTGGAAATTTATAGAAGTAGAATACTTAATTAGAAAGCCGTAGAATCTTGTTAATAAACAGGTTTTAATGTTATGAAGTGAGGCATCTCAGTATATTTAAATGTGAAGAGTCTGGCATATCTAGGTTTGGTGTTTTTTTTTTTTTTATAAGATTTTATGTATTTGGGAAGCCTTGGTAACTGAGCAGTTCAGCATCTGTGTTCAGCTCAGGGTATGATCCTGGGGTCAGGAATCAGGTGCCGCATCCACCTCCCTGTGAAGAGCCTTCTCCCTCCGTCTATGTCTCTGCCTCTCTCTCTGTCTCTCTCATGAATAAAGAAGTAAAATCTTAAAAAAAAAAAAAAAGATTTTACTTATTTAAGAAACAGTGAACAAGCACAAGCAGGAGGTGGAGAGAGAAGCAGTGACATGTCTAGGTTCTTGAGCAGAATTACATGGCAAATCAGAATTGTTGAATGTTTCATGTAATTCTATTTTCTGTAACACTGTGAAAAAAGAAAAATGGATATTTTTGTTGAAATACGACTTTTTTATTGGTAATTGCTTCATTTCAAGGCTTTCTCCGTACCACTTTTATCTAGAGTAGACCGAGATTATGCTAAAACAAGATTCAATCAATAAAGTGGAGTAATTCTCCATTAAGGAGATGATGTTCATTTTTCTATCTCTAGTTTCTAAGACTGTGCTGGTCATATGGTAGACATTTAGTAATTGTTAAATGTATGAATATGCATAACAGTTGACATATCAAGTACTCTTCAGGGAGTAACAGTTTGCTTTGAATCTCTTTAAATTGTCTATTGAATACTGTTATAATTGCTCTTAACATAGAATTTATATTAAACCTACTGTGGGGGGCACCTGGGTGGCTCAGCGGTTGGGCATCTGCCTTTGGCCCAGGGCGTGATCCCAGTCTGGGGATCGAGTCCTGCATCAGTTCCCTGCAAGAAGCCTGCTTTTCCCTCTGTCTAGGTCTCTGCCTCTCTGTATCTCTCATGAATAAATTAATAAAGTCTTAAAAAAATTAAAAAATAAATCGATTGTGGATTTTTAATTGAGATTCATTTATCATTAAAATCATGGGAATAATTATTCTACCATTTGGATTTTTTTTTTAAGATTTTATTTATTAGAGAGAGAGAGGGAGCATGAGCCAGGGAGAGAGGAAGAGGGAGAAGCAGACTCCAAGCTGAGCAGGGAACCTGACTCAGGCATGATCCCAGGTCCCCAGTATCATGACCTGAGCTGAAGGCAGACCTGAACTGGCTAAGGCACCCAGGCACCCCTATCATTTGGATTCTTTGCATGTAAATTATATTTTAAATTTATAATTGCTATTACAAATAGAGATTTTGTAGTAAAAGCATTTTTATTTTCCTTTTAGGAGTTAACAGAACAATTTCATCAAGTTGAATCCCAACTGAATAAACTAAATCATCATCTTACTGATATTCTTGCTGATGTGAAGACAAAAAGAAAAATTTTGGCATCTAATAAGCTGCATCAAATGGAAAGAGAATTATATGTATATTTTTTAAAAGATGAAAATTATCTGAAAGATATTGTGGAGAATTTAGAAAACCAATCAAAGATTAAGGCTGTTGGTTTTGAAGTTTGAAAATTATTAAAAACTGAATCTGTACTACAGAGCTATGCTATGTTTTAATGTTTTATATATTAGGAGGAAAATGTAGCTAATAAACCCTACTAAAATTTTAAATTTGATGCCAGTGGAACATTTCATTTAATTTATTTAAGTTTTACATTGGTTGTTTTTTTTTTTTTTTTCTTATATAATGCGTTCAAAGTACCAGTGCTTTCTATGAGTTGAAAATTTGCTTGATGGCATTTAGTACTGGTAACTTTACTTACAAGGAAAAAGCATTGTTATATAATGCAAATATTTTTTAATAGGATTAGTTCTGTCTCTACTGTTTTTCTTTGAAATAGAAATTTTTTACTGTTAAATATTTTAAACCTTTGTAGAACTTAAAGTTGGCATTGTTCAACCTGTGGACCTTAATATATGGAATAGCCAAGTCCCCTCATATTTAGCTATAAAGTAAAACCATTCCACTCAAACTAATTCCCATAATTCCCTGCTGTAGACTTTGAAAATCTTTGTACCTATTTGCTCTTCAAAAAGTGTCAGATGTCCTTTAACCATTGTTCATTTTAGCAACTGGGTCCTGGGAAATCAAAATTTCTGCAGGACAAATCATACTGGTGCTTGGACTTCTGCTTTGGTGGTGCTTTGACTTACACATCACGAATGACTCTTAAATGAAATTTGAAAATACCATAGAAGTGGTTGTTTAGAGGATACATAATGCTGTTGTAATCAGTTTCTCTGGAGTGAAAATACTTAAATGTTAGATTGTGTTAATTGGGATACACACAAGTGTATTATTTGGACAATTAGAAATTATTTTGAGTGGTATGAAGTCATTTGGAGTAGCTTATTAGGATATCAAATGGTTCTTGAGTGCTTGATTTATATGTGGCCTGTGGTATATACTATGTAAGCTTTATAGAGGAACAAGAAGATGGAGCTATTACTTTCAAGAGGATTTCTGCTTCAGAATATATTGTCTTTTTAAAAAGAGATGCCCATCTAAAGTGCATTTTAGGTGGTCTTTTTGAAATTCTTTAGCTATAACCATCAGAACATGGATATGCTTAGGAGACAGAGAAGTCCTGATAATTTTTATAATCTGTTGAACAAAAATATTTTGCCAGTATTGTATTTGTACATTATTTAAAAATTTACATTTACTAAATAGATCTAAATATGCATGAAAATTTGTAATTTGTAATAAATTTTTGTCTAAGATTTTGGTATTAGCTCATGGGTGGCTTTTTTGTTCCTTTTTAAATTTTTTTCCTATTCCACAGTGGAATAGAGAATTCATTTAAAATTTTTCTTCTCTCTAGTAATGTGGAAAAATATGTCATCTGGTTTCCTGGCTCTTGGAATAGCAAATTGTGTTTATATTTGTGCCAGATATGATAGATGTATGACTAGCTACTCAATGTTTTAGCTACTCAAACCTTTACCCACTCAGCCCAGTAGAGCTGAGCGGTATACATGAAATGATGTTGTGTGTCTATCATAATTACCCAAGTCCATTAAAAATAATTTTTCTGTTACTAGGTTTGCATATTTGAAGGTTAATTATAACAGCCATTTGTTTCAGATATCAGGAGATCTATGAATAGATTGCTTGCTTCAAAATTGGTTAACTAGAAAATATATTCTTTGTTCCCTGTTTACCAGGATATTCCGGTTGAGCCTGTAACTGTTTTGCTCCCTTCTTACTGTTGTAATTATGGAGGCAAGGGCTACCTATTTTCCGTGATCATTAATAGGCTAGTTTGTAGGAATGCCTCTGGATGTAATGTTTTTCAAGTAACATGTTCCTTATTTTGAGGTCTCAAAATTAATATGTGGATATTTATCTTACATTTAGGATTTATGAAAATGGAAAATTATGAGGCATTTGTAGGCTTTGATCTCTATAAAATACCGCTCTCCAGTGTTGCACAGAAGATTATGTCTGCTATGCATTCAGGTGATTTAGTGGAGTCTAAGAATTGGAGAGAGAGTGAAAAGAGTAAGTAATTTTTATAAACATCTTTCTGTCTTGTTACCTTGAATGTTAATCATTTCTTAAGGTTCGAAAATGAAACAGCTGAATTATTGTCAGGAACCTTGTATTGTGTAGGGAGGTTCTTGCTACAGACATGGAGCCCAGCTCCCTTTGGCTTATTCTCATTCAGTGATGACTGAGCTTCTGCTCACTGGATTTCACATTCTCTCAGCCTTTACTGCTTTAAAATGTAACACTCTCTTCATTGTTCCAGGCATTTCTGTCAGAGATTTCCTGAGAATCTCCGTCGTTTAACCTTGGAAAAGCTGGGCTCTTTTACAGTGCCTCTCAGTTTGTTCAGCCTTAGCTCTTGGGTCATTGGATGCACATGGACATAGTACTTGCTGTGTTTGGCAAACGGGAGATGTGTGTTAGTGTGTGTCTTAACGCTGCCTGAGGACTGTGACCTTTTAGGTGTGTGTACTTAGGATAGGATGTCACATAGCAGCGGTGGCATGGGCACAAAGTGTGACATTTGGATCACCAGTTTGTTTTACCAGCAAAGCAACTTGTTGTTCTTGTTTGTGTCTTAATATTTAAGTCTGGGCCAATAATGTGTTGTTTCTTTTCTACAGAGTAAGTTATATGTGAGATATAATTGATAATTGTGATTAAGTAATTGAGAGCATTGACAAATAGTGCAAAAGCTATATAAGTGCAGTTTCTTGATTAAAATATAGTAGCACTTAACATTTCAGTCTGTTCATATTCAGACATCTGTTGCTCATGAGCCTCATTGTAGTAAAAGTCACTGATAAATGAACTGCTAGGAAGTTTTGGGTATGGACCACATACCTAACAGTTGGTAATGTTTCTGGGGAATGGTGTGGGGGAGATAGTAAAGAAAATAAATACTCAGATGTCAAAGGGCTTTCTCCTTTATTCTGTATACTTTCTAAAATAAAAGAGCAGTGGGCACTTGACAGAAGTGGAAATGTACTTCCCTTTAAAAACTGAAAAGAATTAAAAAAAATACTGATAGGAATAGTGCAGTGCCTCTGGAAGTTTCAGTGTGAGTCTCTGTGAAGAAAGATTTTTGGCGATCAGTCCATCTTGTGAACTCTATTGTCATACTCTTCAAATACCCTATAAAATTCTAGTTTTCATAAATTTATTGAGAGGTAATGGGAAAAGATAAGGTATTATTTTTCTGTCAAGTGTTAAAGGATTTGGAAAGAGTGGACTTTTCACAAAGATTCCGTATTGGCTGTTGCTGTACAACACTGTTACTACAAACTTAGCGACTTAAAACAATGCACATTTGTTTTCTCCCAGTTTCTGTGGGTCAGGAGACTGGGTACAACTTAGCTTCATCCTTTGCTGGGCTACAGTGTGGATGTGTCAGAGGGTTTGGGTCTCATCTGAGGCCCAAACAGGGAAGCATTTGCTTCCAGTTCACAGGGTTGTTGGCAGATTCAGTTCCTTGTAGGCTTTTGGGCTGAAGGCCTCTGTTTCTTCCAAGTTGTTGGCTGTAAAACACCCTCAGTTCTTTACCACATGGTTCTTCTGAGGTGCAGCTTTTTCCCTGGCAAGGCTGACATCCCAGTCTTCTGCAGCATGATTGGGAGTATCCTGTCACTGTTGCTGTACCCTGTGGGTTAAGAGTGAGTAGGGACCACCTTGGAGTTCATCTGCTTCAGAGTTTCATCAGTTTTAGTTCTTATTTCATATGGATTTGATTAAGTTGGGTTGCTGGTGGGTTTTTTTTTAATATTTTTTATTATTACTTATTTATGAGAGACACACACACACACACAGAGAGAGAGAGAGAGAGGCAGAGACACGGGCAGAGGGAGAAGCAGGCTCCATGCAGGGAGCCCGATGTGGGACTCGATCCCAGGTCTCCAGGATCACGCCCTGGGCTGAAGGCGGCGCTAAACCACTGGGCCACCCGGGCTTCCCCTGCTGGTGGGTTATTGACGAATGATGCTGGACCTAAGATCTAGTTGATTCCTGGACTCTTGTCACATGCTGGGGTGACTGCATCAGATCTTCATCTCTTACAAGGAAAATACTGCAAATCATTTCATTTCTAAAGCACATTTTGTACCAAATAAATATAAAAACCGAATCCATAAATCGTTGAGAATAACTACAAATATTTGTTACTACAAACAGGTAAAACCAAACATTAGTGTTCTATGTCACTTTGGGGTCTCTGTCTTATGTGCTGTCCTGAAGGTGTGAAGACACACACCCAATAAGGGTTGGACTGTGTAGGTCTTCTTGCTATGAGATTGATCTTTATTTAAAAGCCCTCCGCTGGGAAAAAAAAAAAAACAAAATATGCAAAAACTTCAACTTATGTGTAACCAATGAATATAAAGAGGACATCCACATCGTCACATCGCCAGAACCTCGAAGTTTCATTCTCAGTTAAAACTCTCCCTGCTGGAGGTAGCCATCATCCTGACTTGCAGCAGTCACTTACACTTCCTTACCATGGGCGTTTTGCATTGCTCCAGAGGCCTTTTTTTGGCCGTCTTTCCCTTCTGACTACATGGCTGTCTCCTTGCAGTCAGGGGTGACCTGGGATCCTGTCAGCAGGATGTGCCCTCAGGTATTGTGGGCCATTTCTGGGGTAGGCCTCTTACCTTCCCTCTAGTAGGAACCCTCCTTTCGAACTCTGCAAATGATAACACTGTCCTAGAGGATTATACAACGTGTTGGAAGGACCCCAGTCCTGGAGAGACCACATGAAACATTTACAGCCAGCTGAGAACACTCAACCTCAGAACATGAAAGAAAAATAAACTTTGTTATTTAAGCCACTGTCTTGTTGGGTCTTTTGTGACTGTAGCTTAGTTTTGTACCTTAATCCATACACCTTTATAAATGAGATTGAAATGTGGGTCCATCTGACTTAAATTTTCATTGTCATTTGATGGTTCAGTAATGCTCCTAAAAGTCTTTGGCAAATACTTGGGGGAGGAGGAGTTTGCAGGGCCGCTTCAGGGTTGCCAGCTGACCTGCTGCTCTGTATAGGGTTATGCATAGGATTCAGCATATGTTTATTAAAAGAGATCTCTGGGGATCCCTGGGTGGCGCAGCGGTTTGGCGCCTGCCTTTGGCCCGGGGCGCGATCCTGGAGACCCGGGATCGAATCCCACATCGGGCTTCTGGTGCATGGAGCCTGCTTCTCCCTCTGCCTGTGTCTCTGCCTCTCTCTCTCTCTCTGTGACTATCATAAATAAATAAAAATTAAAAAAAAAAATTAAAAAAAAAAACTCTTAAAAAAAAATAAAAAAAAAAAGAGATCTCTGTTTTGTCTGAGTGGCTGTAGAAATCAAATAATATTTCTTAGTACACATTTGTCCAAATTGTTTTTCATTTTAACAGCTTAGATGTGAATTTGGTTTTCTAGTCTAAAAGAAATGTATACATATATATTTGCAGACATTACAAATTAATACAATTTGAGATCCCAAAGGTAAATATTTGTGAAAATCGAGTCCATTAATATGAAGTGTGTCTTTATTCCACCATCCAGTAGAAATCTGCGACTTCAAAGACAGATAACATAAAACTAAGTGACCAAACAGATCTGTCTTGATTATGTTCATTCTAGTAAAGAGTATAATGGATAAACATACTATATTTTTATTTCTTTTTTTTTTTTAAGATTGATTTATTTATTCACGAGAGGCACAGAGAGAGAGGCAGAGACCTAGGTAGAGGGAGAAGCAGGCTCCTAGTAGAGCCCGATGTGGGACTTGATCCCGGATCCCAGGATCACACCCTGAGCTGAAAGCAGACACTCAACCACTGAGCCATCCAGGCATCCCCCTATATTTATTTCTATTAAGTAAACATAAAATCCTTGTATCCAGTTATTTAACAAGCCTGCCAGGTGTTGGATTTCAATCCCCATTGCCCTCATACATGCCTGCATTGCTCCTCACTAGGATGTTGGCAGTGGCTTCCTAATCGTTCTTTACCTTCATTATTGCCCCTTTGTCTTGCCCTCAGGCCTTTGCTAGAACTAGCTCAGCTTTTGTCCTTGACCTGTGCATAATACACTTCTGGAAATATCCCAGGTGCTTTGAGGGATCCCTGCCTGCCCTGTTCAGTCATTTGCCCCACTACTTGTCCCTCTACACCTCATGCAGATTTGACTGCGACTTCCAAACACATGGCGTTTTCCAGTATCCTCCTCTACTTAGCCTTTTGTTTCTTCTCCACTCAACTGAGTGAGGAAAGCATTTTACATGGTCCTGCTCAAAATACTTTTCCTTTAAGATTTACTTATTAGAGCATGAGTGGGGGGAGGGGCAGAGTAGAAGGAAGGAGATACCCCGCTGAGCAAGGAGCCCAACACTGGCCCCATCTCAGGACCCTGAGAACATGACCTGAGCCAAAACCAAGAATCAGTTGCCCAACTGATTGAGTCCCCCCAGGTGCCCTTTGCTCAAGTTTGCCTTATTGGAAGTAACCTGTCCTGGATTCATTTGCAGCTCGGTTGAGAGGACTCACCATAAGGTACCTCTGGTTGTATGATGCTCTGGCTCTTTGTGTGCTTTGAGATCCTTGAGGCAGGGCAGGGTTCTTGCCTCTGAGTGCTGCCACACATACACTCACCTGTGGCTTCCTCTCACTGACTTGGAAGAGCTTTCTATACACAATACATGTATGTGAAGGAGTTCTAAATATGTTGTAAATATTTTGGGGAGATCTTTTTTTTTAATACTTAGGAAATTGTTTTAAAGCCAAAAGCATAAAGCCCATAATTCACATTTAAAAATCTTTCCTTACATCCTTATACACACAGCCATGTAGTGAAAGGGTTCATCTGCACATTTTTTTAAAGATTTTATTTATTTATTCATGAGAGACCGAGAGAGGCTGAAACATAGGCAGAGGGAGAAGCAGGCTCCTTGCAGGGAGCCCGATGTGGGACTCAATCCCGGACCCAGGGATCACACCCTGAGCCAAAGGCAGAAGCTCAACCACCGAGCCACCCAGGT